GTGAAAACAGACAATGGCTGGGGTATACCCCAACGGACTGACGGGACTGGRCTGGACTGGCTGGTACCGACAGAGGTACCGGCCTGGACTGGCCTACCCCGAATACAACACAGGCCTGTGAGAACAGGCCAAAGGGCTGGTCTCCCAGGCCAACCCGAGGTCCGCTACACGTGTACGCCGCTTGTAGGGAAATGTGTGTATGTCGTGTGCCTGCAAGTATGGAACATAGCTATCGACACAACATCCTCGAGCCTGTTGTTTCCTTTACCACCAGGCCTGTGCAATGACTTGTTGATTTCTGCTGCCGAGATTGCCTGCGAGGCTGTACACTAACCGGTAAGGTTAGTTTGGTAATTTTGTTTGGTTGAGGGCTAACCGGGAGACCTGCCTGTTTGGAAATTCGTGAGGGACAGATCTGCAATTCCGAAAAAATACATGCCCGATACTAACCGAATTTCTACAGCTACCCTAACTGCCTATCGCAGGCCCGAATAAGTTTATGGTTGTCTACCTGGATGATATCTTGGTATTCAGCAAAACTACCAGGGAGCATGCGGAGCACCTGACTCTGGTTCTTCAGTCGTTACGTGACAGCCAGTACAAGATCAACAGGGAGAAGTCCTCTTTTGGAGTTCCCTCTGTTATCTATCTGGGTCATGTAATCTCCGGAGATGGACTGGCCCCTGAAGCAGCCAAAGTTGCTGCTATTCAGGACTGGCCACAACCCTAGACAGTGAGAGATGTCCGGTCTTTCTTGGGTCTGGCCTCGTACTACAGAAAGTTCGTCAGGAACTTTTCTGCAGTGGCTGCACCCCTGACTAACCTCACAAAGAAAGACACTCCCTTTCTTTGGTCGCTTCACTGTCAGATGGCCTTTGCACGACTCAAACAGGCCTTGACTCATGCACCTGTTATNAACCTCACAAAGAAAGACACTCCCTTTCTTTGGTCGCTTCACTGTCAGATGGCCTTTGCACGACTCAAACAGGCCTTGACTCATGCACCTGTTATGAAGTTGCCTGACCCCACTTTGCCTTTTGTCCTGACTACTGACGCTAGTCAGTATGGCATTGGGGCAGTACTTCAGCAGGATGATGGGAATGGTCTGAGACCTGTCGAGTTCATGAGTAAGAAGATCAAGACTCAGAAGCTTCAGGACTCTACCTACGAGAAAGAGTTGTATGCTCTTGTCAGTGCCCTGAAACATTAGAAGCACTTTCTCCTGGGCAGGCACTTCAAGATCTTTGGGAGAGTTAAGCGATAAGTTGGCACGCTACATTCAATTCATTGATCTCTTTGACTTTGAACTGAAACACAAGAAGGGCTGCTACAATAAAGTAGCTGATGCCCTCTCTCGTAGGCCTGATTCTTTTGCGCTGATCTCCTCTACTCACTCCTTTGGAGAGGAGGTCCGCCAGACCATCACTCGCCTACTGCCTCAGGATCCTACTTATGGACCCATCATCAGGAATCTGCAAGCTGATCCCAACTCTGAACCTGGCTATGGCATGAGTTCAGATCTTCTGTACACTTACAACAGAGGAGAGGAGCGCTTGTGTATCCCTGAGGATCAGCAGCTGAGGACATTGCTGATGTCAGAGTGCCACCATGCTCGTGGGAGCTTTGGGTTCTTAAAGTTGTATGCAGCCCTGTCGCAGCGCTTCTTCTGGAAGGAGATGCGGAGTGATATGCTGCGCTATGTGGACACCTGTGAGCTCTGCCAAAGGAACAAGGTTCAGCGTAAACCTCCTTTGGGATTGCTCAAACCCTTGCCCATACCTGATGGTCCTGCACAGTCTGTATCCATTGATTTTACAGACTTAGGCAAGACCACCCCTCGTGGCATGCGTCAGGTTATGGTCTGCGTGGACAGGTTTTCCAAATACGCAGAGTTCATCCCCTTGCCAGAGGTAGCCAGGGTACTGGCTGAGCCTTTTCTAAGAGGTGGGTCACACACCATGGACCGCCCACCTCCATTGTTAGTGACCGAGACCCCAGATTTTGCAGCGATGAGTGGCAGTCCTACTGCAAGGACTATCTGCACTCACGCCTGGACATGACTTCTGGTCGTCATCCTTCAAGCCAATGGATTGGCTGAAGTGATGAACCAAGTCCTATTCCAGCTACTGCATCCTGTTATCTCTCCGGATCAACAGGACTGGGATCTCCACCTAGCGAGGGCACAACTCATGTATAACATGTCTGTCCATTCCTCGACAGGGTTCAGTCCCTACCGGTTACATTGGGGACGTGAGCCACGACAGCCTCTCGATGATATCATCGATAAGGCTAAGCCTGACCTTACCCCAGGCACTGCAGAGTTCGCCAGATGCTATTGTCTGGATGTGGAAAGAGCCCGAGCGAACTTGTTCAAGGCCCAAAAGGCCATGATTGAACAAGCCAACCGCCACAGGCAGCCTTCCCCCATCCGCACTGGTGACTATGTCTGGGTGGCCAGTTCTGAGCTGTCGAGGGAGGAGGATATCTCCCCTAAGCTGTTGCCACGCTACTTGGGTCCATGGCAGGTTCTAGATACAGTGGGCGCTGACCCCTTCGGTCCGTCGTACGTCATCGACGTCCCGCTGCATCTACGAACCTATCCGGTCTTTCATGCATCTAAGCTGTTGCCTTTTATGCCAGCTGATGCATTCCCTGACCGGCCCCCTCGATGGGGCCCACCAATCCCTGAGAAGAGATATGATGTGTTGGCCATTGAGGATGAGTGGGGCACTGGCCCCGACCGGCAGTATCTTGTCAGGTTCGCTTTTCAGCCCCCTTCTGAGAACCCGTGGTTCTACAGAAGAGACCTGATCAAGACAGCAAAGTCCGTTGTACTGCGGTATGAGGCGGCTCAGAAGGGTGACCTTCGCCGTTCGCCTCGTCTGCACCCCTAGCTCGGAGGTCCTCGCTCCCGGGGAGGGTAAGGCTGCTGATTTCTGCTGCCGAGATTGCCTGCGAGGCTGTACACTAACCGGTAGGGTTAGTTTGGTAATTTTGTTTGGCTGAGGGCTAACCGGGAGACCTGC